ATCTTCAAAGGGATTTCACCCACACTCACTTTATCTGAAAGTGAAAAATGCCTTGTGCCTCCAATGATAACAATGGCAGTTTCTACTTCAAAGTAATTTTACTTTTTTAAACTCTCATATGCCGAGAACCAAGATACTTCTGTTCTAAAAGTAATTGCATCACAGACTCAGGGCTCTATTCAATCTGTATCGCTGAAGCGTTCCAGATTGCGCAATTAAAAAGTAAAAGGTAATTTCCCATTGAGCCAACCTATGGAGTGTTTATCCGTGAATGCAGTCTCTGCTAACACGGGAACATTGCGTTAAAATTTCGATCACGCTGTAACGCTGAACTTCCGCCAAAGGGATTGAATAGAGCCCTCAATATAAGTAACTACAGTAGTAGTGCGCTCTATGTTTTGGGTTTTAAGTCAATGAACACATACAGCTATTTTTAAATCACTGATAATGATCAGCAGAGGTGTCATGCCCATAGGGGGCACATGGGTACGTGCCCCTTCAGATTATTATTATTTTTTTTTATTGTCAGTTAAATTAATTACTAAACTTCATTTTAAGCCCACGTTTTATCATAATTCAGCTGTATTTTGCAGAGGGGGCACACTAACTGGACCAGGCAAAGAGTACCCCCCTCCTATTCTCCCTAGTAAGTGCTTCCTTCCAAGGTGCACCACAGAGCAAAGATATGCTAGGCAGGATGCTAGATACTCTAGTGCATGCAGACAGTATTGTCAGTGGAGGAGGAGAGAAGGTTTAGAGTGACACACAGCGTTTTATTTGATTTTAGCTGCCGGTGATGGGCAGGGCTCGCAGGAGGTATATTTGTAAATTAATTTGATCAAGCTATGTAGCCTATTGATTTCTTCTTGATTAATAGATCAAACAAAAATGTTTTGTTTTTTCTCTGTAATACTAGCCACATAGCAATTTTATGAAGTTGGCTTTAGCTAGACAGCTAGATAGGTTCCCTTTCTCCCAAACTCATAAATAGCTACCAAGCCATTTCAGGCTATCAAGTTAGAGTAGCTTGTCTAACTATCTTAGCTGGCATGGCTGTTGGTAAGGTTGCTAGACTTTAGAAAAGTACGCAATTACTAAATGTACTGAATAAGACTTACATTCCTTTCTATCTTTCCCCCAGATTTTAGCAGAGATGCAGAGAAGCATATTTAATTTCTTTATAAAAAGAACCAGACAGCTCAAGAGGTATGGATATGCAGAAAAATACTTGGTTTAAATGTAATGTGGCACTTTATGATAATATCATTATATTTGTGTATTTATTATTATGCCATGATATGTGCCTGTATTGATGATGTGTGTTATGATCCCATGTACTGTGTTGTAATTTGGATTTAACAGCCAAGGCATGTTAGTGCAGTATATTGAGATGTGTGATTTACAACAGTCAGAATGACACCCTCATTAAAATGAAAATTGAACAGCTAAAGAGGAATGCTTAGATAACTTATGCAGAAAAATATACACTACATGAGGACCAAAAGTATGTGGACACCTGCTTGTTGAACATCTCATTCCAGAATCATGGGCATTAATATGGAGTTGGTCCTCCCTTTGCTACTATAAAAGCATCCACTCTTCTGGGAAGGCTTTCCACTAGATTTTGAAACATTGCTGCGGGGACTTGCTTCCATTCAGCCACAAGAGCATTAGTGAGGTTGGGCACAGATGTTGGGCGATTAGGCCTGGCTCGCGGTCGGCATTCCAATTCATCCCAAAGGTGTTCGATGGGGTTGGAGTCAGGGCTCTGTGCAGGCCAGTCAAGTTCTTCCACACCGATCTTGACAAACCATTTATGTATGGACCTCACTTAGTGCATGGCGGCATTGTCCTGCTGAAACAGGAAATGGCCTTCCCCAAACTGTTGCCACAAAGTTGGAAGCACAGAATCGTCTAGAATGTCATTGTACGCTGTAGCGTTAAGATTTCCCTTCACTGGAACTAAGGGGCCTTGCCCAAACCATGAAAAACAGCCCCAGACCAATATTCCTCCTACACCAAACATTACAGTTGGCACTATGCATTCGGGCAGGTAGCGTTCTCCTGGCATCCGCCAAACCCAGATTTTTCCGTCGGACTGCCAGATCGTGAAGCGTGATTCATCACTCCAGAGAACGCATTTCCACTGCTCCAGAGTCCAATGGCAGCGAGCTTTACACCACTCCAGCCGATGCCTGGCATTGCGCATGGTGATCTTAGGCTTGTGTGCGGCTGCTCAGCCTTGGAAACCCATTTCATGAATCTCCCAATTAACAGTTCTTGTGCTGACGTTGCTTCCAGAGGCAGTTTGGAACTCGGTAGTGAGGGTTGCAACAGAGGACAGAACATTTTTACACAAGACATGCGTCAGCACTCGGCAGTCCCGCTCTCTGAGCTTGTGTTGCCTACCACTTCGTGGCTGAGCTGTTGTTGCTCCTAGACGTTTCCACTTCATAATTACAGTACTTACAATTGACCGGGGCAGCTCTAGCAGGGCAGAAATTTGACGAACTGACTTGTTGGAAAGGTGGCATCCTATGACGGTGCCACGTTGAAAGTCACTAAGCTCTTCAGTAAGGCCATTCTACTCCCAATGTTTGTCTATGGAGATTGCATGGCGGTGTGTTCAATTTTATACACCTGTCAGCAACCGCTGTGGCTGAGATAGCCAAATCCACTCATTTGAAGGGGTGTCCACATACTTTTGTATATATAGTGTACATATTTTTTACATCGCATTAGGCATAATGATTATGGCTCTAGATTGCAGGAAAAAGTTTCAGGTGTTTGAAAAATGCATCCTCACATACTTTGTGCCCCCTCTAAAAATAATGGGTGCATGACGCCCCTGATGATCAATCATCAAAAAATGTAATAGCATCAAGTCTTATGGTACATTATACATTCATTATATGGAATATATACTTGTTTATTTGGGATTAATCCAGCATTGTTTGGTACCAGTTACCAATTATGTTGTAAAAGTACCCAGAAACAACCCAGTGATAACATGTACTTTCCTAGTAAACACTTGATTAATACCAATTTAAGCAGAACCATAAAGAATAAAGTGTGACCTACAATTATAATAGATCATTCCCATATTACAGTATTATTGGTCAGCAATCACTTGTGGTTGATGACTGTGTCTGTTGAATATACCTTGGAGATATTAGAACCATTCCAAATGTAGAAACGTATAATTTATTAGCACTGAATATATCCTCCTTTTTTCAGCCATGTTTTCTTCATATTTGTTGAATATCCCCTTTGGGAGCAGTAATTAGATAAATCCCTTGCTTTTGTGTGCATTTGGGGTGGTATTTTGTCCACAATGTAGTTTTGTGATTCACCCTCCCACAGCAAATCAATGTGTAAAAGTAAGCCACGTGATTCAGTGACTGGTGGCTCCCATCGGTTTTAGTGGTTGTACATGGGATGTGTCTGTATGAAGCACCAGTGCCACCATGTGGTCATATGAAATGGAATACCTGTTCAAAACTGAATGGCTACAATATTATACTGTATTTGACTTCAAATGCACATTCAGGCTATTGATGGGCGGTTACAAATACAGTTCTACAGCTTTTCCATTTAGACCCTGTTTGCAAGTAGCAATAATTAATATGTATGAAAATTTTTCAGGGGACTAGTGTTGAGAGATATGGGAACTAGGACCAATATTTACATAACTGATTGATATAAGTTACTATTGAAAACAATGATTTATATAAGGGGGAAAATTAAGTGATTAAATATGTATGATTTAATTACATTTACAATTACAATTATTTCAAAAGCTACATAAGACCATTTTCCTTAATTGTAATTATTCCAATCAAATCCCAACTCCAGTGTAATGATTACGAGAGACAGTTTATCAGTGAAATTAGGAAAAACTGTGATGTTGAAAATGTACTTCAAGGGCTAGGGCTTTCAAGTATATCAAGCTGAAACAGTTTATCAACTATGAATTCCGAAAAAGGACACAACCCAGAAAGTGGATGACGCAAATAGTTAATTGGCTTGTGGTTGACATGTCTCATATTTGGCTTTTTGAATTGAACACACTCAATTAGGTTAGGAGAATGCAATATAAATAAAGTGAATTCCTTTCCCGTCAAAAGTAGACATGATTGTGTATATTAACAATGTCCTTGTGGAGATACTTTACTAACAACTCCCAATGAACAGTGGGGAATCTGGTGGCAAGTTTGCATTGTGCAAACAGCAATACATGAAGTGATTTGTGGATTTGAAAATGAGAGTGGGCAAAGAGGTAGTGAAAAGTGCTGATGCGATTCAGATAGGCCTGTAGCCACTCTAATCGCTTACATATTTTACGCTGCGACTGCATTCAGACACCTTGGGTGAGTGTGCGCTGGAACCCAACAGTAAACAGCTCAGGGACGACACAGTGGGAAGTGATTTCTGCTCTTTTTTATTAACACAAAAGCAGGGGGAGACACGCGTCGGCAAGGAGGGTAACATTATTTATTTGGGGCAGTGACTAGAATCACCACGCCCGCCACTGTGGGCAAAGTGGAGGTCCAGCACTTTGGGGTTATCCATCCGTAGGGAGAGCCAATACCTCAAGATTCCACCAGCTAATTGAAAGTGCAGCTTTTAAAACAGAGATTTAATAAACTAAACATCAAAGCTGGTCATTTTTCACCAAAGCGCCCCAAGGGAGACAGAGCCAAGTTCATTAGAAGGCTCATTCAGCTTTGTAAACCTTGGTGACAAACACACTGTTTTTGTGTGGCACAACTTCCAACGCACTAAATATCTCTTGGCTTTCCGCTTCCAACCCCCCTTTCTTTCTCTCCAAGACATTGGCTCTATCATATGAAGAAAAAGAGCAAAAGAGCTCAACTGCATCTTCAGTGAAAAATGACAGATATCTACTCTTAAATAACTTTCTATTTGATGACTCATGCTAACAGATTAATCACGTTTTATTTTCCTTTCTCTCTTTGGAATTGAAATGCTTTTGTTGTTTACTTTCTCTTTGTTGGGGTAGGGGACTTCATGCCACGAGCTGGGGTGGGGGACTTGGGTCCCCTAGGAGGGGTGGGGGACTTGGCACCGGCTGGAGAAAAGACATGAGCAGGGGCTGGGGAAGAGGCAGGAGTGAAAACCTTGGAGCCTGGGATCTCAATAGGACGTTTAGGTGGGATGATCGACTTGGGTGTTAGAGTTGGTTTGGCCTGAGGAATCGTATCACCGTGCTTGTAGATGCTTACAATGATATCCACAGACTCTCCTCCATATTTGTTCTGCACCGTCATGGTGTACCTGCCAGAGTCTTCCAGGGACACACCTTTGATGGTGAGACTGGCGAACTTTCCGGACTCGAGGGACACCAAGTACTGGTCATCGGGATACACCTCTGCACCATTTTTGAACCAGTTGACTTGAGGTTTGGGGTCACCGCACACTGTGCAGGTCAAACTCAGGGTCTACCAAGGGGGGCAAAGGAATTGAAGGAATGGAAAGACCTTGGTTACCAACACAGATATAACAGAAGAACATGGAATGTTGCTTGTGTTGTTCTCACCTAAGCAGTGCTGGTGCTGTTTATTATTTAATCAGAGTTTACTATGTATATCATGTCCTATTTCCCTAGTCTCTTGTCTTTGCCTTACTGAGATGAGCATGTTTTTCAATCCGCTGGAGAAATCCCCTCTTGTAGCATCAAGGTAAAAGAACCAATCACACTACAAACAAGTGTGTTTAGTCACTTTGGAGAGACGTGCTGGTTACAGTGACCTTTACAAGTAGCTCTATTCTGCCATTATGCAAACCATATACCTCTATGACAGATTATTCCTAGCACATACAGTTGAAGTCGGAAGTTTACATACACTTAGGTTGGAGTTATTCAAACTCGTTTTTCAACCACTCCACACATTTCTTGTTAACAAACTATAGTTTTGGCAAGTCGTTTAGGACATCTACTTTGTGCATGACACAAGTAATTTTTCCAACAATTGTTTACAGACAGATTATTTCACTTATAATTCACTGTATCACAATTCCAGTGGGTCAGAAGTTTACATACATTAAGTTGACTGCGCCTTTAAACAGCTTGGAAAATTCCAGAAAATTATGTCATGGCTTTAGAAACTTCTGATAGGCTAATTGACATCATTTGAGTCAATTGGAAGTGTACCTGTGGATGTATTTCAAGGCCTACCTTCAAACGCAGTGCCTCTTTGCTTGACATCATGGGAAAATCAAAACAAATCACCCAAGACCTCAGAAAGAAAATTGTAGACCTCCACAAGTCTGCTTCATCCTTGGGAGCAATTTCCAAATGCCTGAAGGTACCACGTTCATCTGTACAAACAATAGTACGCAAGTATAAACACCATGGGACCACGCAGCCGTCATACCGCTCAGGAAGGAGAAAAGTTATGTCTCCTAGAGATGAACGTACTTTGGTGCGAAAAGTGCAGATCAATCCCAGAACAACAGTAAAGGACCTTGTGAAGATGCTGGAGGAAACAGGTACAAAAGTGTCTATATCCACAGTAAAACGAGTCATATATCGACATAACCTGAAAGGCCGCTCAGCAAGGAAGAAGCCACTGCTCCAAAACTGCCATAAAAAAAACAGACTATGGTTTGCAACTGCACATGGGGACAAAGATCGTACTTTTTGGAGAAATGTCCTCTTGTTTGATTAAACAAAAATAGAACTGTTTGGCCATAATGACCATCGATATGTTTGGATGAAAAAGGGGAACGCTTGCAAGCCGAAGAACACCATCCCAACCGTGAAGCACGGGGGTGGCAGCATCATGCTGTGGGGGTGCTTTGCTGCAGGAAGAAAATGGTGCACTTCACAAAATAGATGGCATCATGAGGAAGGAAAATTATGTGGATATATTGAAGCAACATCTCAAGACATCAGTCAGGAAGTTGAAGCTTGGTCGCAAATGGGTCTTTCAAATGGACAATGACCCCAAGCATACTTCCAAAGTTGTGGCAAAATGGCTTAAGGACAACAAAGTCAAGATATTCAAGTGGCCATCACAAAGCCCTGACCTTAATCCTATAGAAAATGTGTGGGCAGAACTGAAAAAGCGTGTGCGAGCAAGGAGGCCTACAAACCTGACTCAGTTACACCAGCTCTGTCAGGAGGAATGGGCCAAAATTCACCCAACTTATTGTGGGAAGCTTGTGGAAGGCTACCCAAAACATTTGACCCAAGTTAAATAATTTAAAGGCAATGCTACCAAATACTAATTGAGTGTATGTAAACTTCTGACCCACTGGGAATGTGATGAAAGAAATAAAAGCTGAAATAAATCATTCGCTCTACTATTATTCTGACATTTCACATTTTTAAAATAAAGTGGTGATCCTAACTGACCTAAGACAGGGAATTTTTACTAGGATTAAATGTCAGGAATTGTGGAAAAACTGAGTTTAAATGTATTTGGCTAAGGTGTATATAAACTTCAGACTTCAACTGTATATCACACTGTATTTGTTTCATAAGGACCCCAGTTTATGCTTTCCCCACAATATTTAATATGTTGTGTGAAACCAGACATGAGGTGCTGTAAAATGCAATATATCTACACAATCTTCGCCCTATGGGTGATTGTGGTGTATAGTGCAACTGTAGGCTACAGTGGACTCAATCAGAAGGCGCTCCAGATTGAATGGAAATTGGCAGCTTTGACATCAATTGCATCCATCTGGTTATGATAGTTGACACGCTGACCTTCCCAATGTGTTAAATCATTTCTGGTTACCTGTTCTAGTGTTAAATATATTCCCATAATTGCATTCAATCGCTAAATAAAATGTAAATTACCTTCTTCTCCATGATGGTAACAGCATCAGGCAGACCGCCCAGCACTTTGCCACGGTCTAAAAATAGATATCTCATATAATCACAAAATTGTCTGAATCAAAAGATTTCCCACAGAGCCACGATCTAGCATTATGCCAAGAGAATATACTCACTGGCTTCAGCATATGCTTCCTCTCTGGAAAACAATAGAAGAATGGCATTGTTAGTGAGTTCATTAGCACAGTGAGGCTTGTTATATTTCACCCCAAGACTGTGACTCCGTACACATGCTCTGCATTGCCAAATACGTTAAACTTAACACTATGTAGGAATCCGAGCTGCGTTTTAGCTGTAGGAACGTGACATTTATACAGTATTGATGCCCTACATACATGTGCATGAAATGAACACTGAACAGAATTATGACGTGATTATCTTACTTTAGTGTCGTGAATTCCGCCAAGGCTTTATCGTAGGCTGTGAATGAGAAAGAACATTTGGGCTTTTCATAATGTTTCATTAATGTTACACCATACAAAACCGATTTTGAAGTGTACTGTAGATGGAATAACCTACTTTCTTTATTTTTGTTGCCGTACTTCAATCAATCAATCAAATGTATTTATAAAGCCCTTTTTACATCAGCAGATGTCACAAAGTGCTATACAGAAACCCAGCCTAATACCCCAAACAGCAAGCAATGCAGATGTAGAAGCACGGTGGCTAGGAAAAACTCCCTAGAAAGGCAGAAACCTAGGAAGAAACCTAGAGAGGAACCAGGCTCTGAGGGGTGGCCAGTCCCCTTCTGGCTGTGCCGGGTGGAGATTATAACAGTACATGGCCATTGAAGCCAGATTTTTCTCCAAGATGTTCAAATGTTTATAGATGACCAGCAGGGTCAAATAATAACAAGATAATGTACTACTGCTACTTGTCTTGGAGACACATCGTACCCCAATATTGTAATGTTGTTCTGTTTTGCCTGAAATAGTTCATCCTCGCTCACTCATTACTGTTCCAGCCCACAAATCGCATGACCTGTCAGGGACCAGCCCTTGATTATGTTTGTCATCAAACAGTCTGTTGACTAACTGAAGTATGAGCCAGGATTGCACCTTTGATATTGTTGTTCCTGTTATTTCATCCCCGGATTTGCCTAAATATGCAGCTTGCTTCCGTGTACCCAGCTGCAGAGATGCCCTTTTAATTATAAATGTAGAAATCTGCAAAACAACAGTGTGTGACTGGGCACTGCATGGGTTAGTCTAAGACTGTGGCAGGACAACAGTCGAGTGGGCAACAGTGTTTAGTAGTTGGTCATTTAAAATAAAGATGTGCAGTGATCTCATCACTGTGGCCCAACTGAAGACTCCACCTCATTGATATACTGCCAGAGAAATGGTAATGGTAACCTCTGCTTTTTCTACATTCAGATGTTATGCACACATACTAAGATGTTATGTACACATACTAAGATGTTATGTACACATACTAAGATGTTATGTACACATACTAAGATGTTATGTACACATACTGAGATGTTATGTACACATAATAAGATGTTATGTACACATAATGAAGACAACTGGAAATTGGCTGGGAATTCCAATGCATATATATTTTTTAAATAACTCCATTTATCAGGTTTATCATTTCCAGGTTACCATTATCCTGGTATTGTCATTGAGGTTCATACATGCTGAATGTGCTAATATCACTCTGTGCATTCATATATTATGCTATTTGCAAGACTGAAGGAGAAGTAGGTTGTTAAAGTACAAGTACAACAGCATACATACTGAATATCAGATGTCATCTGACTTACCATCTCCAGAAAGGTCAATAGTGCGAGTGTAGGTATTCTCCGTATCTATTATCTGGATGTGGTACAGACCCTTATCCTTTTCTGTGGGTTCAAGGATCTCCATAGTGGCCATAGCAGGGGTACCTCCAATATGCACCTTCTCAGAGTGAGATAGTTTACTGTCCCTGAAAGGGTTAAAGGGGAGGAACCGTTGGAGCATAATAAGTATTGTTTTTGGAATAAAACAAAAACAAAGGTAGGTATCCATTGTGTTGGATTGAGTAGGTCCCTACTGGTTTACTCAAAGAGCAGTCAATGAAACATGGTATCAACTCTAATTTACAGGTAGCTCGATGAGGAATTTATTAGGAGAACATCATAAAAACATCATATGAAATTGTGATTGATTCTAATGAAAATAGTCAAATGTCCAGATTTCTCACATAATGAGTGTAATTTTCTAGTCGTTTATCAGATAATGACCCGCTACAATTGCTGTGCTGGACCATTTGAGCATCATCATTATCTTATTTATGTGCCATTGCCCTCTTGGCAGTCATGGAGGACCTGAAATTTGCCAAGCTCAAATTTGATGAGGAATCATGGGAAATGGTAGGCTTTGTTCATTCATTGTGTGTGAAATTGTTGCCATGCTGAAACATGCTCCCCCTGTCAGTGCCATGCACGCTGGAAGAAAGTAAAGACCTGAAGCAGCTACTTCAAAATGTTCATACAGGGATTAGAAGACCCACGCATGGTTTAGCTGAAACTGGTTTGCCTTACACAAGCTGCTGTAACCAATGACTTCCCACAAGCCTGAGGGAGTATTTTTTTAAATATCCTGTAGCTATTCTGCTAGGTACAGTAGGCCTACTAAATATTTCCTTAGGACAGAGCATTAGGGAAAATTGTAAATTTGATAGATTTGTTTTGTATAGATAGTGGGTGAAGAGAGGCTGTCTCTAGTCTCGCTTTTGTGTCACTCTTTTTCAATAACCATATTTTTATGAGACATAATCTCAAATCATGTTTACATGCCTGGCTCCATGTTAAGCCTTGGGATAAAACCTTGTGCGGATTATATTTCCATAAACATTTCCATAATTTCTAATTCTCTGCATAATTGAATAAAAGAAAAGCACCCCCCAAAAAAAAACTTTGCATATGCTTACGCGTGCAGCCAATGGATTTTCATCTCCTCTGTGTAGTATTTCATGTGGCAGTGGAGCTGGATGCCTGTTGCAGTGCAGTGAATTGCCAGCTCAGCTGCAGAGGATCCTGGCGAGCAAAAAGGAAAAACCATGCGTCCTTTAGTGTACATATGCTGACATTTATGTTCTATACCTCTCTTAAGCTAACAATATATCTTCTTAGATAGATACAACTTGGGTATTTTCTGTGGTTTACTAATTGGTTGGCCGGTGCTGGGAATCGGAATCAGCACAATAAATGCCATAATGGGGATACGACTTCTGGCTAGGATGACAGGTACAGATGTTACTTGCAGCCCAGTTCATGAGGGTGGAGTAACAGGACCCTTGATATGCCCAATGGCTGTGCAATCCTCCTCATTAGTTGTGCTGTACTGATTTAGCTGCACTGAGAAAAAACACAGAACTGCGTGAATAACAAATGATCTGCAATCTAACGATCAAGTAAGTCTAACTGATTTTTGCACTGGTTGAATAACAAGCAGAAGAAACTGATAACACGTTAGTTTAAGAAAGTATGCTAAAAAGAAAAGTGACAATCACGAAGATATTAGTACCTACCAGCAAGTTTAGAAAGCTTCTCAATAATTTCATCAAAGGCTGTAAGAGAGATGTTGATAAAACAACATTATGTTCAAAGTATGTTTACAGTAAGACAATATTTCACATACAACATAATATAGTTTTCATATTAATTACCATGGCCGGATATTTCAATTTGGGACTGATCCTTTCCTCTGTCATCACTGATGGTAGCTTTGTAAATGCCAGTGGAAGCCTTGGAGAACTAGGTTGGATAAAAAACAAAGCACTATTTCAGGGATCAAAATAGAATGCAGTAGATAGGACTACCCTCTGTAATAGTAGCACAATAGTAAGCTACATTAGCTGCATTCCATTGATATTTGTTTGGGGGGCTTAGTAATTTCCTGTTCATATCATTGAGAACAAATTGTCCCAATTTTATATACTTTTCTCAACTCTTCTAGGACTTACAGTGCCTTCAGAAAGTAATCACACCCCTTGGCTTGTTCCACATTTTGTTGTGTTACAGCCTAAATTTAAAATGGATTATATTGAGATTGTGTAATTTTTTATGATAAATGAAAAGCTGAATAAGTCAATAAGTATTCAACCCCTTTGTTATGGCAAGCCTAAATAAATTCAGGACTAAAAATTTGCTTAACAATTCATATAAGTTGCATGGACTCACTCTGTGACCAATAGTGTTTAACATGATTTTTGAATGACTACCTCATCTCTGTACCCCACACATACAATTATCTGTAAGGTCCCTCAGTCGAGTAGTGAATTTCAAACACAAAGACCAAGGAGATTTTCCAATGCCTCGCAAAGAATGGCACCTATTGGTAGATAGGTAAAAAATAAAAAAGCAGACATTGAATATCCCTTTGAGCATGGTGAAGATATTAATTACACTTTGGATGGTGTATCAATACACCCAGTCACTACTAAGATACAGACGACCTTCCTAACTCAGTTGCCGGAGAGGAAGGAAACCACTCAGGGATTTCACCACGAGGCCAATGGTGACTTTAAAACACTTACAGAGTTTAATGACTGTGATAGGAGAAAACTGAGGATGGATCAACAACATTTTAGTTACTCCACAATACTAACCTAAATGACAGAGTGAAAAGAAGGAAGCTTGTACAGAATAAAAATATTCCAAAATATGAATCCTGTTTCCAATAAAGCACTAAAGTAAAACTGCAAAAAAAATTGGCAAAGAAATTAACTTTATGTCCTGAATATATTAGTCATTTAGCAGACGCTCTTATCCAGAGAGACTTGCAGTTAGTGAGTGCATACATTTTTTTTTTCATACTGGCCCCCCGTGGGAAACAAACCCACAACCCTGGCGCTGCAAGCGCCATGCTCTACCAACTGAGCTACAACTGAATACAAAGCTTTATGTTTGCGGCAAATCCAACACATCACATCACTGAGTACCACTCTTTATATTTTCAAGCATGGTGGTGGCTGCATCATGTTAAGGGTATGCTTGTCATCGGCAAGGACTAGGTATTATTATATTTTGTTGATCAAAATAAACGTAATAGAGCCAAGCACAGGGAAAATCAGAGAGGAAAACCTGGTTTGTATTTGTATTTGTATTTATTATGGATCCCCATTAGTTTCTGCGAAGGCAGCAGCTACTCTGCCTGGGGTCCGGCAAAATTAAGGCAGTTATACAATTTCAAAAACATAACAGATTTCACAACACACTAACCCCTACTCCACTATCACATATCTACAACACAAAATCCATGTGTATGTACAGTGGGGGAAAAAAAGTATTTAGTCAGCCACCAATAGTGCAAGTTCTCCCACTTAAAAAGATGAGAGAGGCCTGTAATTTTCATCACAGGTACACGTCAACTATGACAGACAAATTTAGCTTTTTTTTCCCCAGAAAATCACATTGTAGGATTTTTAATGAATTTATTTGCAAATTATGGTGGAAAATAAGTATTTGGTCACCTACAAACAAGCAAGATTTCTGGCTCTCACAGACCTGTAACTTCTTCTTTAAGAGGCTCCTCTGTCCTCCACTCGTTACCTGTATTAATGGCACCTGTTTGAACTTGTTATCAGTATAAAAGACACCTGTCCACAACCTCAAACAGTCACACTCCAAACTCCACTATGGCCAAGACCAAAGAGCTGTCAAAGGACACCAGAAACAAAATTGTAGACCTGCACCAGGCTGGGAAGACTGAATCTGCAATAGGTAAGCAGCTTGGTTTGAAGAAATCAACTGTGGGAGCAATTATTAGGAAATGGAAGACATACAAGACCACTGATAATCTCCCTCGATCTGGGGCTCCACGCAAGATCTCACCCTATGGGGTCAAAATGATCACAAGAACGGTGAGCAAAAATCCCAGAACCACACGGGGGGACCTAGTGAATGACCTGCAGAGAGCTGGGACCAAAGTAACAAAGCCTACCATCAGTAACACACTACGCCGCCAGGGACTAAAATCCTGCAGTGCCAGACGTGTCCCCCTGCTTAAGCCAGTACATGTCCAGGCCCGTCTGAAGATTGCTAGAGTGCATTTGGATGATCCAGAAGAGGATTGGGAGAATGTCATATGGTCAGATGAAACCAAAATAGAACTTTTTGGTAAAAACTCAACTCGTCGTGTTTGGAGGACAAAGAATGCTGAGTTGCATCCAAAGAACACCATACCTACTGTGAAGCATGGGGGTGGAAACATCATGCTTTGGGGCTGTTTTTCGGCAAAGGGACCAGGACGACTGATCCGTGTAAAGGAAAGAATGAATGGGGCCATGTATCGTGAGATTTTGAGTGAAAACCTCCTTCCATCAGCAAGGGCATTGAAGATGAAACATGGCTGGGTCTTTCAACATGACAATGATCCCAAACACACCGCCCGGGCAACGAAGGAGTGGCTTCGTAAGAAGCATTTCAAGGTCCTGGAGTGGCCTAGCCAGTCTCCAGATCTCAACCCCATAGAAAATCTTTGGAGGGAGTTGAAAGTCCGTGTTGCCCAGCGACAGCCCCAAAACATCACTGCTCTAGAGGAGATCTGCATGGAGGAATGGGCCAAAATACCAGCAACAGTATGTGAAAACCTTGTGAAGACTTACAGAAAACGTTTGACCTGTGTCATTGCCAACAAAGGGTATATAACAAAGTATTGAGAAACTTTTGTTATTGACCAAATACTTATTTTCTACCATAATTTGCAAATAAATTCATTAAAAATCCTACAATGTGATTTTCTGGATTTTTTTTCTAATTTTGTCTGTCATAGTTTACGTGTACCTATGATGAAAATTACAGGCCTCTCTCATCTTTTTAAGTGGGAGAACTTGCACAATTGGTGGCTGACTAAATACTTTTTTTCCCCACTGTATGTGTATAGTGCATATGTTATCGTGTGTGTATGCATGTGGCGCTTAATCCAAGATGGCGTTGTAGTGTGGTTGTGTATTCTATTATGTCCTCGTGTAAATA